AGCCTGAATAGGTCTATGAAAAACATTTAATGATATTTTGACAAAATTACATTAAATCTATAGGTCAATTTGAGGAAAATTCATATCTTTAGTGTATTGAGTCTTTCAGTCCATGGACATAATATGTCTCTCCATTTATTTAGGTTGTCTTTGATATTTTTGTCAGCATTTTGTAATATCTAGCAATAATTCTATGTATATTTACTAAGCTTATATCTAAATATGCATTCACTATTAAATGGGTCAAGTAACATGTCCATGTTTATATTGCCAGTGTATTAGTTTTCCAGGGCTGCCATAACAAAGTACCATAGACCATATGGCTTAACTAGTAAAAACTTATTTTCTCTAAGAGTGGATGCTAGAGTCCAGGGTCAGTCACAGTGTTGGCAGGGTTGGTTTTGCTCTGAGGCCCCCTTCTTTGGCTTGTAGATAGCTGTCTTCTCCCTGGTCTCTACATGGCATTCTCTCTGTATCTGTCTGTTTCCAAATTTCCTTTTCCTGTAAGGACAACAGTCATATTCACTTAGGGCCCACCTCAATAATCTCATTCTAGCTTAATTACCTCTTTCAGGACCCTATCTCTGAATGCAGTCACATTCTGATGTGCTGTGAGTTAAAACATCAACATATAAATTTTGGGTGGAAAGATGATTCAACCCATAACAGCTATCAACCAGTTGATGATTCCAGAAAGAACTGTCTGAATCTGATTTGTATTAAGTAATACATTAATTATAGCAAAGAATAATAACAACTGAAGCATTTCTTCAGGTACAGGAAATTTATTCTTCTGGTAACATATGTTTACTTCCTCTTAAAACCAGTAACAGGTAGAATAGTTCCTGTCAGAGCTGGAAAGGAAACTAAAATTATTATCATCCCTGGGACTAAAGTGATGCAGTGTGCTTGGCTGAAGCTCTGTGTGATAAGTATGTGTAGTATGTGTATATATATATATATATATATGTATACATAATATATTTATATTTAAATATATGTATATGTAAATATATACACATGTATACAGACTTATAGTATCTGTACATACATATGTACACACTAATAGCATGTATATGTATGCATGTACACACACTTAAAGTATGTAAGTATAAACATGTTTGTTGCATTTTTAGGAAAAAAGAAAAATTCTGGCAAGATAAACCCAATAGGGGAATAACTGCAGTTTGTGGGTTCATGCTGAGTACTGGGGAAGACTGCCAGGCTTTTGCCATACTAACTTTAGTCCATCTACTTTGCCATTTTTAAGCTAGCTCTGAGACAAACCAAGCAGAAAATATAATTATAATTCCAAAGACTTAGGCCAAGGAGATATATAAATTTCTTCTGATAGCAACTGGGAAAGATTGGGCCTTTGAAGTAGTTATAAAAATAAATGACCTCCCAAAGGTGATACTAAGTTCTTCTGGGGCTATAAAGACAAACTCTCTGATTCCCCACACATAAAGCTGCAACCTAAGGCTTCATTAGCCCAATAATTTACTTGTGGAGATGATTTAAGAGCTTGGAGAGATTAATTGAGTGTCCCATATCCTTCATAGGAGGGATTAAAATAGAGAAAATATTTAAGATCCCAGTTGGCTATAAAAGGGAACTATCTGGGGAGATGCTTTCTTCATTAATAACCTCGGTGACTGATTCTCTTAGCAGACTTTGAGAAGGAGCCATATGGTCTGAGTCTTCAAGCGAGGCAAAATAACCCTTCTCCCCAGCACCACCAAATAAGCTATGGTAGATGTAAGTATGGTGAAATATTCAGCAGGTGCTAAGAATCTCCTCTATAAGCTCACTAGAGAAAGACAGGGGAAGAAGAGAGTGCTCTCACTCACCCATAGCCTTGAATGTGTGCACAGATCTCAGACTGAAAACTATTAGCACTTGGGAAGAGATTTGGGCATAAGCATAACTAAAACCTTCTATACCAAGTGTTATAAATATTATTGACCCTCCATATGGCTCCCATTCTTTCTAGGAGATGAACAAAGAGGTATTCCTTTTCTATAAGACTTTTTTTTTTTTCTTTAATGAGGCCGAGAAGGATTCTGGTTGTAAATGGCAGAAGTTTATCTGATTATCTACATGTTCAATCATAGACACTTTCTTGGTTCTACCCTCAGTCTTTGTAAGCTGTTTTCTTCCCTATTACATTTTGTCTCTTTTCTCATGGTCTTTCTTCTTAGAAACCAAGAGCAGCTACTAACTGAGGACGTGTGCATTTCCCACAGCATGAAGTAAGGTGGTTCTACAGCTCCCTATCACAGCTGCATTACAAGGTAGATCTTCACAGAATTCTTGGGAATAGAGGGGAAATTTACATTCAATCCTAATGGCAATACATAATCCTTGCCATTTTGGATAGCTTTCCCTGTAGTGATACATTACTCGTGCTACATATTCATCTACAAGAGGGAATTCCTTGCAAAATTGTGGTATAGTAAAAGAGTGGCTTAAGAAAAACGTTGTGGAGTCATAGAAGTAAGAGCGTGGACGGAGGAATGGAGCTGTACATAGAACACAGAAGAGGTAGAGCTATCTATGCAGGGTTACCTTTGCATCTACTAAATGAAGAATATGTAACACTCATTATATGTTCTGTAGGCACTAAATCCTGGTTTATGTCTCTCACTCCTGGGGACAGAATACGGATACTGAAAAGTGATTCTGTCAAATTTCCACTCTTTAGCATCAAGCCAAAAGGGTTGAGTCATTGCCTCATGCCCAGTTGTCTGGCACCTCGTCAGAGCTGGAAACTATTACCTTTAGATCACATTTGTGCACGTACAAGGTGAGAGGATTTTTTTTGTCAGGGACATCTTAAGGGTGATAGCTTACACTGACAAAATAACTACCAAGGGGCATATTTTAATGAGATTATCTTTTGAATTTGATATAAAAATGACTCGAAGAAACTGTTCTGGTATGTGAAAGAAAAAAATCTAGAAGTGGGTTTGCTCTAATTCAGCTGTATTTACTAATGGATTTTGATTTCCTCACAAGTAAACATGTATACCTCCCAGACTTGCCCTTTTAAGAAAATGATTTCACTACTCTCCAATTTGTTCAAGCCAGAAATCTAGGGTCAATTTCATTTTATTTTTCCCTAACTTCCATTTGCAATATGTCAGCAAGTCTTGGTATTACCTCAAAAATGTATCCTTGTCTGTTTAATATTTTCTTTCTTTCTTTTTCATTTCCACTGCTTCTCTCTTAAGTCATCATCACTCCTCATCCTGATTATTTCAATGACTGTCTAACTGATCTCTTTTGTTGCCCCCTGCTTGACTATTCTTCACCTTAGCAGTCCAGGTGGATAATATAAAATGCAAATCAGAATGTTACCACCCCCTCCTTCATTGTGGTTTTTAAAAGTCTTGAAAAACTTCTCATCACATTTGTAGTAAAATCAAAAAGAAAAAGATATCCTTTTGTGTTCTGTAAAGCCTTACGAGACCTGGTTACCGTCTGGGTCTCAGACATGATCTATTCTCCCTCTCCTCTTTGCTCATCAAACTCCAGTCATGCTGATTTTTCACTCTCACTAAAACAATCTTCCTTTACATCTTCACATGGTCAATTATTCTTGTTATTCAGGCCAAGGCCCAAATGCCACCTCCTCACAGGTACAGCCCCAGACCATCCTGATTACTATACTAACTTGTATGCAATATCATCCCAATCAATCTTCATTAAAGAGTACTATTTTGCTTTAAAATTGTACTTAGACTTTTATCTAAAATTATCCATCATTCAACTTATTTCATGGCTTAAAAGTTCAAAGACTTTGTCTTATTACTATTTAATTATAATGCTTAAAATGTCATGGTTGTCATGTGATGGGCACTAAAAAGAATTGGGTAAATTAATGACTGTATATACGTCACATGTTAGGTACTTTGCAAAGTATTGAACAAAGCAAATAAAAGGTGGAGTTTATATGCAAGGAGCCCTTAGTCTAGTGGCCAAAGGGGTATTAAAACCTTCTTAAAGGACACTTCTCTTCTTTGTACTAACAGACAACTCCTTTTCAGCAGCAATAGAACTCTCTGTCAGTATTGGGGAGGGCAGACCCAGAAGCGTATGGCTGAGAATAAAAGGGAGAAGATCAAGAAGATAGTTGTCAAAATACAAATGGAAAATTTGAAATGAGAGAGATCAGGTTCAGGAGAATTATTTTAGTGGGCCTTCAGAAAAAATAATGGAGAGAGAGATATTACATGGAAATAGGGGAAAGTAAAATATTAAATGTGAAGGAGAAACACTATTATAAGCCATGTCTTTGGCTGGCCTAATCATTTATTCTGGCCCAAAGGTCTATGATCATCTAACTTACAATTAGTCTGGGCCATTGTTATAAGTAGTGAGCAGTTCTGTTGTGTCCAAGAAGAGGCTAATAAATACTTAATGTAAGCATCTTTTCCCTACTACTAGTCCATGGAATCAGGAGTCAAAGCATCTCTTCCTTTCTCTACTTGCTCCTCAGCTGCAGTGGTGGAGGCAGAGCTTCTCTTCCCCTACTTTTTTCACTTAGCCTCTTGGGACAGTGCTGATAATTCAAATAAGTTGTTACATGCAGGAAAATGTGGGTTAGGAATTACTACTGTGAAGGCAATTACAGGTGTATGTACTATATTGGAAAAAACTTCAGGGCTGAGTTCCTTGATAATCCTCTTAAATTACTCCACAGAATATGGATTCTTCTGTAAAAACTGCATAGTTGATGGAAATAGTTTCTAAGTTGCCATGTGCATAAAAAATTTCCTGGGAAGCATGCTAAAAATGCATATGTTGAAACTCCAAGAATTTGATTAAGTAGGTGGGGGATGGTCTCTGGAATTTGCAGTTAAGAACATAAACAATACAGTTTGCCTTAAGACTGTATTTTGAGAAACAATGGCTCATATTGACGTTATTATTGCCTTTAAGAAAGAATTAATGAGAATGACATAGTTGGAGTGATACCTTGAACATAGATCTGCGCTCTGTGGTAACAACACAAACAGAAAGGTATTTCTTCTGGATAAACATGTGGCCCAGCATGTGGCCCAACAGCAGCTCCAATTCCTTCCTGTTGACTGGTTTTCCAGGCTTGGAGGCAGCTCACCACTGGATTTCGACATCCTTCTTTTTTGTCTATATCTCTGTCCTTTTTGGCAATGGCACCCTCCTCCTTCTGATTAAGAAAGATCACAATCTGCAAGAACCCATGTACTACTTCCTGGCCATGCTGGCAGGTACAGACCTGGGGCTGACCTTGACCACGATGCCCACGGTATTGGGAGTCCTCTGGTTGGATCACAGGGAGATTAGAAATGCAGCCTGCTTTTCCCAAGCCTACTTCATACACTCCCTTTCCTTTGTCGAGTCTGGTGTTTTGCTGGCTATGGCCTATGACCGGTTTATTGCCATCTGCAACCCTCTTAGATATGCCTCTGTACTCACTAATACTCGAGTGCTAAAGATTGGGCTGGGAGTTCTGATGAGGGGATTTGTATCTGTTGTCCCCCCAATAACACCTCTCTATTTTTTCCCCTACTGCCGCTCTCATGTCCTTTCACACGCATTTTGCCTTCACCAGGATGTCATCAAACTGGCCTGTGCTGACACCACCTTCAATCGCCTATACCCAGTTGTGCTTGTGGTCCTTATATTTGTGCTGGATTCTCTAATTATCCTCGTCTCCTATGTGTTGATACTCAAGAGTGTCCTGAGCATTGCCTCCAGAGAGGAGAGGGCCAAGGCCCTCAACACTTGTGTTTCCCATATCTGCTGTGTCCTGGTCTTCTATGTCACAGTGATTGGTTTGTCTCTGATTCATCGGTTTGGAAAGAACGTTCCACATATTGTCCACCTTATTATGAGCTATGTCTATTTTCTGTTCCCTCCACTAATGAATCCTATAATATATAGTGTCAAGACCAAGCAGATCCAGAATGGTATTCTTCACCTTTTCTGTAACCATAGAATTAGAACCTGATCTCTGACTATCACAGTCTCAGAGAATGTGAAAACTCTGACTTTTGGCAGGGGAGCAAAGAAGTCTCATATCTACCATAGATGCTCGGATCTCTTGGAAAATATATGTCAAAGTTGAGCTTCAAGTTACTGTAAGGTATCTCTTTAAGCCCAGGTCTTTGGTCTAATCTAGTTTGCAGAATTTTATTTTTGCATTCTTATATATTGAATATTTCTCTAAGCTTGACATTAAATTCTTGTGTTAACAATACTTTAGGCAGCTATATGTATGTCTAAAGTATAACCAACATATATTTATTTGCGGGTAGAAAGTTGGCAGATAGGAACAGAGTCATAAGGATATAAAATTATGAGTTAGATTGGGTGAAATGAAATAGAGTTTGATTTATTATATAAAAATCCAATCTTCAACTCTCATGCATTCCCCCCCACACACACAGATATCCACACAAACCATGGAAACCTATACATTTAGTTATTGACATTCAGGAATTTTCCTGCAAAGAAGTATGTAATATTTTTTGATCAGTGTGAAATTATTTATCATCTTAACCATGTCATTGATTCCTCCTTTTTCCATCAAATGATCATGACTTTATTTCAAGCATCATAAATTCATATTTACTCAGCAAGATAACACCTACTTAAGAATTTGTAACAAAGAATGTGAGAAGAGGAACCATGAATAAATCAAAGAAAATAGACATAGTCAGCACCTCCTCCCATCTTTGCTCTCATTCTTATCCTATGACCCTAGTCCTTAGCTCTCATACTGGTGCCATCTCCAGATCATCTCCTAGTGACTAATCAGGCGTCCTCAAACTATGGCCCATGGGCCACACGCAGGTGTTTTTGCCCATTTGTTTTTTTACTTCAAAATAAGATATGTGCAGTGTGCATAGGAATTTGTTCATAGTTTTTTTTTTTAAACTATAGTCCAGCCCTCCAACAGTCTGAGGGACAGTGAACTGGCCTACTGTTTAAAAGTTTGAGGACCCCTGGACTAAGTAGTCTTGTATGAGTGGAAGAAACAGTTCCCTCGTCCATCTTTTGCTATTAAAAAGGTCTGAAGGAACCTTTTCTGAAGGAAATAGGTTTCTACATTTTTTGCAGAATGGTTGCTTTCTGTACATATAACCTGATTCCATTTTATAAGTGTGAATTTCCCAGGAGATACAGCAATATTATTCTTATTTGATTACTTTTGCTGATGAATTATGAAGATACATGTAACTCAAACATTACAATTAGAAACATGTAATTCTGATGAATTATGAAGATACATGTAACTCAAACATTACAATTACAAACATGTAATTCTGATGAATTATGAAGATACATGTAACTCAAAATATCCTCAAAAGATGGAGGTTATGTCTTCATCCAGTTAGAGTAGAAAAATACTTTGGTGATCCAGGAGAGGGAACTGTATAGAAAAGAAAGCATTGATGTCTTTAGTGTTTTGTACAGAACTGTGCACCTACTCCTTGCACCCGTGAGTGTTAGCTGCTCATTGTTCATGGTTGCTGCTTTCTGCAGGTTGTGGTTCTCAACTCAACAGAAACTGCCTCATCAAGATTATGGCTCTAGCTTCCTAGTATGCAGGCCATAGACAAATACTAACCCTCTTGCCTTCTGAAGCTAAACTTGACCTGAGATCATGGACTTGTTTACCTCCTTCTCCTATCCACCCTGCTCTCCCTTGCTCCCCATCTCCTGAGAGCAATCATTAATAAAATACACACATCTGAATCCTTGTCTCAAGCTTTGCTTATAGAGAGCCTGACCTAAGAAAAACTGCAACCCTCATTTCTATTTTGTCTTATCAAGAAATGTAATTGTGAAAACATTAAAAAAGACAATGACTACATGTTTTATCACTTGTTTTCACCCTTGTTACTCCATGACATCTGAGTAAAACAGCCTGAATACTAAATTGTGAGTGTGAGTGTGTGTATGTAATGGGAGGTTTTGTCGTGCTTCCTATTATTCATGAAAGCAAACATGCATTCCTCAACTTTTCCTGCTCTTTCTGCCATATCCACAACTTCTTTTACTCATAATACTATTGTGAGGTAGATATTATCATTACTTTCTAGATGGGAAAACTAAAGATAAGAAAAGTTAAATACCTTATCCATGGACATAAAGTTTATAAGTGGTATAATTATGATCGAAACCCTTATCTTTTAATGATAAGGCCAGTGTGAATTGTACTTTACTGAAATAGTCTATCCTTAGTGAACCCTACTTTTCTACCTGTACTCCACCATGCTTATAGAAGCAAGAAAAAATGTGGTTTCAGATACTTTCCATTATATCTCTAACCTTAGTGAAAAATCATTTTTAGAAGTTTTTGATGTGAAACCATAAAAAAGAGGAATGTTCTTGTAATGGCATAAATAGTAAGATGAAATGCTTAGAATTGTTAGTGATAACGTTTTCCATAAAGTGTGTGATCTCAGACCATAATATTAAGAGTAAATTATAGATAAAGAAATAATGATAATAAAAAAACCCCAAGAATCTTCAAGTCACTGGTTCCATGCTTTCCTGTGGCACCGGGACAAGAAGCTCACCCATACTCATTTTAAAATTTCACAGTTGGGCTAGGTTCCAGGAAAAATTAAAGATCTAAGACTAAGACAAGACAATAGGGATCACCAGATCCTTATCTCTCTGCCATACTATGAGTATCAGTTTTTCCATTCAGTTACAAATTCTTAGAGAAAGCCAGGGATGGAAAGAATACCTCCACCATGTCCTCCTTGTTACCTTACACCTGAACACTTCAAATAAAATATATTTTCTTATTTGACTTGTGTTGATCCAGAAGCAAGGAATATGACCCTGGGGTAAGACTTATCATGAGACAGATAAAAAGCTTGCTGTTTGAAAGAACTCATCAAAAATACTCATTTATCAGAAAATATCACTTCAAGAATGCATGTGCCAATTACTATAACAAGCAGGAAGGGTAAGTGTCAGAATTATTGAGCTTCATCTAAGTTTACCGAGCTTACTTGTTCCAGGATTCAGGAATGGCAAAGTGAAAAGCAGTTTTGATGATATCATCTGTTTGAGTTTGAGGTGGGGAATTTAAAAAAAAAAAAAAAAAAAAAGGTGGTTTAAGAGCCTGACTTCCTTCTGCTGGGTGGAGCTACAATTCTGCTTTCTTTCTGCAAAGAAGACATGGGGCTATAGAATACAGTTCTGGAGGCCTGCCTTGTTCTCCAGAGAAGGCCAGAAAAGGTATCCCAGTAGTCTAATTATCTAGCAGTAGAAGCTACCTTAGGGAGTCATTTCATATACAAGTAACCCCACAAAGTAATCCTGTTATCAGTCTTCAAAGATAGCATTGGAACTGGTTTCTACATCAGGACCCAGAAATTACCTCTGCCCTTCATTCCTGATGCCCCAGGTAAGGTTCTAGTGACTGTGGGAAAATGGAGTGGAAGTAATTAAGGGAAAAACACGATCAATCTTCACAGACTTCTCCTTCACATAGATGTTACAAGAGGGTAAATAGAGAAGTTGGCTATTTGTATCTATGGATTCTGCCATCTGTAACAAATTCTAACATAAAAGTTCCACTTTCTAGAAAATCCTAACTCCTCACAGAAAAGCAGTGGTTTTTACCTAATAGGTGCTTTATGAATAATTAAGATGTCCAGCTTGCTACCTAGATTTTCCTGTTAGTCCAGGGCTATCAAGAATATTTTTCCTTCAATAGGAATATCCTTCAGAAGAGGCAAGAGGAAGGAGAGACTGACTTTAAGAGCAACTATGCAGAGTGGGGTCATTGTGACATTTGTAGGTCTCTATATTTCTCTATAATCCATCTTTGTTTCCTCTTGATGCTGTTCTCTAGGCTCAGTTTTTTTTTCTCTCACATCTACCTAAGTTACCTTTCTTCCCTCTCCTTCCTCTTCTTTGTACCTGACACATTTGTCAGCTTACACAGTTGCCAATTAGTAAAGATTATTTGGAAGTCAATTTAACAGTCAGCATACCAGTTAATGTATCAATGTGTTGATTATAAAATAATTAAAATTTCATAAATGATTTCACAATAAGTATATCAAAATCTTTCATTGCTTCCAGGGGAATTGGTGTGTTAATATAGCAGCCAGTAAGGTAAGCAATGTTGGGACTATAACCATATTTTAACCAAAAAGAGTTAGTCAGAGCCACTAGAATTAATACACAAAAATTACATATTCAGTTTTGTGCTAAAGCCTAGATGATGAAAAAAAAGACATCTGGATTTAATTAGAGGAAGAAGGCAAAGTGAGACACAAGATTGAAATAAACCAAATAACTGGGTGATAGATATAAGAAGAAAGGAACAGAAAAATAATAGGATGGAGATGACACTCAGCCATACCCTATGTGCATGAGCAAATGGGGCAGAAGTTACCAGAGTTGCCCATCCAAGCCCAGCCTAAGTTACTTGAGCCATGCATATGAATGAAAACAAATGTTTAATGTTGTAAGACATTGACATTGTACAGGGCTTTGTCATGTGACAATTTTGTAGTAGTAAATAATGGACACAATAACTTATATAAACTCTCTAAATATTAGTTTATTAGTAGTAAAATATGAATAATAGCAATACCTCTGCATCAGTTTTCTATTGCTATATAATAAATCACTATAAACTATGCTGCCTAAAACAGTACTAATTTGTTATATCAGTTCTACAGTTCTGCAGTCTGCTTCACTAGGTTCTCTGCTTAGAGTATCAAAAGACTAAAATCAAGGTGTTAGCTGGGCTGGGCTCTTAATTTAAGGATCTGAGGGATAAAACACTTCCAAGCTCATTCAGATTGTTGTCAGACTTTAGTTTCTCATGGCCATAAATTGAAGGTCCTGTTTTATTGCAGGCTGTCGGCTGGGACTCTCCGTCTGTTCCTAGAGGCTCCTTCATTCCCTCTTATGTGACCCCCCTATATTTAAAACCAGCAACTTCCCCGTAAGTCCACCATTAGTCTGTGAAAACTCTTTTCTGTCGAGGGTTTATGAAATTAGATTAGGTCCCCCTAAGTAATCTCCTGTTAAGTTAACTCAAAGTGAACTGATCAGTAACTTTAATTACATCTGTATAAGCCCAAGCATATTTCATCATATTCACAGCCCCCCATGGACTGGGATAGTAAATCTTGAGGAGGGGAGAGTGAATTTTAAAATTATGCCTACCACACTTATTTAAAAAAATAGCTAGTGAGAGAAAAGACTTTCTTTTCTAGTACATGTGTTATTTTTACAGCCTGTGTACAATAATTTTTATTTTTAACAATTGTTTGATGAAGTATGATGTCTGAATGGGCCGTAGAAAGCAGCTGGGGTGGAATCTTAGAATGAAGTAGTATAGTCTAGAGCTGTGCTATCCAAAACAGAAGCCTCTGGTTAGCTTGAGTCAGGATGTGCTGTCAGTATAAGTTACATACTTGATATTGAAGAATTGATACCAAAAAATGTAAAATGTCTCATTCATGACTTTTATTTTGATTACATTTTGAAATGATAATATTCTGTATGTAGTATATTAAATAAAATATATTTTTAAAATTAATTTTGTATCTCTCTTTTTTAGTCTTTTAAATGTGGCTACTAGAACATTTAAAATCACATTATGTGGCTCAAATTATATTTCTACTGGACAGTGCTGGTATAGAGAGAACTTTTTCTGTTTCTCTTTAGGTATCAATCATGTGGTCCAACATTAGTGCTGCCCCTTTTCTACTGACTGGCTTTCCAGGTCTGGAGATATTTCATCCTTGGATTTCCATCTCCTTCTTTGCTATCTATCTCTCCATACTCCTTGGCAATGGTACCCTCCTCTTTCTCATCCGACAAGACCACACTCTTCATGAGCCCATGTACTACTTTCTGGCTCTATTGGCAGCCACAGACCTTGGAGTGACTTGGACAACAATGCCCACCGTGCTTGGTGTTCTGTGGCTGGACCACAGGGAGATAAGCCAGGGAACCTGCTTCTTCCAGGCTTATCTAATCCACTCACTCTCTATAGTGGAGTCTGGAGTCCTGCTCGTCATGGCCTATGATCGTTTTATTGCCATCTGTAATCCCCTGAGATATACTTCTATTCTCACCAAAGCTAAGGTGGTGAAGATAGGTCTGGGGGTACTAATGAGGGGATTTATACTGATTGTGCCTATAATCATCACCTTGTCTGGATTCCCCTACTGCAGACCCCATGTCCTCTCTCATGCCTTCTGCCTGCATCAGGATGTGATCAAATTGGCCTGCGCTGACATCACTTTCAATAGACTCTATCCTATAGCCCTGGTCTCATTAACTGGTTTCTTGGACTCTATGCTTATCCTTATCTCTTACATCCTAATCCTTAAGACTGTCATGGGAATTGCCTCAGGTAAGGAACAGGCTAAGGCCCTAAATACTTGTGTTTCACACATTAGCTGTGTTCTGGTTTTTTATGTCACTGTGACTGGGCTAACTCTCATTCATCGATTTGGAAAATATGTGCCACATATAGTCCATATTATTATGAGCTATGTCCATTTCCTCTTCCCCCCATTTATGAATCCAATAATTTATAGCATTAAGACCAAGCAGATACAGAATGGTATCAACCGCCTTCTCTCTTTTCAAAGAAATTGAGCCTAACATGACTTTGGGGGGAATCTCTCCATTGTAGAATGGATTTCTTAAGAGAATCAATTATATGTTGCTAATATGTCTCAAAATCAAAAGGACTGGCATTCTTATCATTTAAAAGGCAATGATATACCCATCCCCTCCTCCCCCCTCCCACCCTCCCGACACCTGATAAATGTTACTCTTATATGTCCACTTAGGTGTTGATCTGTTAATACCAATTTGCTGATGAGTACATGTGGTGCATAAGATGTGCAATGTTTGGGGGATGGACACGCTTGAAGCTCTTACTTGAGGGGGGAGGGGGGCATGGGCAATATATGTAACCTTAACACTTGTACCCCCATAATACGCTAAAATAAAAAAAAAATTAAAAAAATATATTAAAAAAGGCAATGATATAAAATGTAACCAAAATGTTGTACCCTCGCAATCACTTGAAAACAAAACCAAAAACAAAAAAACCCCACCAGAATGGGATGTTAAGATACTAGAGACAGAAGGAACCCTAAAGAATATTTGGCCCAGTGTTTCCCAGGGTGGTACATATATACCTGTGGTGGTACAAAAGAAGATTTCAGGTGCTTCATGGATATAGCTTAAAATAACATTAAATCCTATGAGTTCATGGATATGTTAATTAGCTTGATTACGGTACTCTTTTCACAATGGATATGTGTATCAAAACACCACATTGTGCACCCTAAACATATGTGATTTTTTGATAATTATTCTTCAATAAAGCTGGGGAAAAAATGACATTAAATCCCTAAAAAAAGAAAAAAAAAGACACAGAGTCATTCCTCTGATTTTCAGTGTCCCCAGCCCAGCCCAGCACCAGAACTAAGACCATTGACCTTAGTTCTATTGCTCTGTTTAATAGATTGATTTGCTTTATTCTGTCATTTTTCTCTTTGTCAGAATCACCTGTCTTCATGGCTACCTGAGGTTCATGATACTTGAAACAGTTGAAGAGTCTACACAGACATGGGAGAATGAGATAGGTTGATGGAGTTCCCCGAACTGTATGGAAAACTATTTAATAATTCTCTATATGTTTTAGAGTGCATCAAAGGTGATGAAGGGTCTTAGCCCCACTGGTACTGCATGGCACTAAACTGAATCAGAAGCAAATGAAAATAAGGTATTTAGACCAACAGAAGTCTTGATGCCAACATAGCCAAGGGCCAAAAGACTCATATTCTAGCAGATTCCAGCATGGCTAGATGCCCACTGAAGATTAGTGAGAAGTCTCTGAGTTCACCAGATCTGATGTTTACTACCTAATATGATGAGAGCTTCAAACAACCTATGATAAAATAAATTTCCATTTAGTGCACACTTGAGTTTTTATTCATTTTTTTTTTCAATTTGCTCTGTGTTCTGTGTGCCCTCTACACATGCTTAATGAAAAAGTAATTCAGTCACTAAGTTATTTTCATAACCACCTATGCAGAGGGAACATTTTGTCTTTTGTATGGATTAAGTGTGGTGGTAGTACAATAAACCGCCTTAAGAAAATATTGTACTCCATGGAATACATATATCACATTTCATTAATCCACTCATGAAGTGATGGACACTTGGATTGTTTCCACAGCTTTGCAATTGTGAATTGTGCTGCCATAAACATTCGAGTGCAGGTGTCTTTTTCATAAAATGACTTTTGATCTTTTGGGTAGATGCACAGTAGTGGAATTGCTGGATCAAATGGTAGATATACTTGTATCGCTTTAAGGTATCTCCATATTGCTTTCCACAGAGGTTGAACTAGTTTGCAGTCCCACCAGCAGTGTAGGAGTGTTCCTCTCTCTCCACATCCATGCCAGCATTTGTTGTTTGGGGACTTTTTGGTAAAGGCCATTCTCACTGGAGTTAAGTGATATCTCATTGTGGTTTTGATTTGCATTTCCTTGATGATTAGAGATGTTGAACATTTTTTCATAATTGGCCATTATTCTGTCTTCTTTTGGAAAGTTTCTGTTCATGCTTTTGCCCATATTTTGATAGGGTTGTTTGATTTTTTCTTGCTGATTTTCCTGAGTTCTAAATAGATTCTAGTTATCAGCCCTTTATCAGACGTGTAGCTTGCAAAAATTTTCTCCCATTCTGTGGGTTGTCTCTTTGCTCTCTTGACAGTTTCTTTGGCTGTGCAGAATCTTTTTAATTTCATTAGGTCCCATTTGTTTATTTTTGTTGCTGTTGTGATTGCCTTTGGGGTCTTCTTCATAAATTCTTTGCCTAGGCCAATGTCTAGAAGAGTATTTCCAACATTTTCCTCTAGAATTCTAATAGTTTCACATCTAAGATTCAAGTCTGTTATTGAGCGTGAGTTGATTTTTGTGAGAGGTGAAAGGTGTGGGTCTTGTTTCAGTCTTCTACATGTGGCTATCCAGTTTTCCCAGCACCATTTATTGAATAAGGGCTCTTTTCCCCAGTGTATGTTTTTGTCTGCTTTGTCGAAGATTAGTTGGCTATATGAGGATGGTTTTATATATGTGTTCTCTGTTCTGTTCCACTGGTCAATGTCCCTGTTCTTGTGCCAGTAAAAAGATATTTTACTCAGATTTAAAAAACAATGGTGATATAGCATCTCTTGTATATTCCCGGATACAGCTGGAACCCATTCTACTAAGTGAAGTATCTCAAGAATGGAAAAACCAGCACCACATGTACTCACCATCAAATTGATATTAATGGATCAACACCTAAGTGGACATATAGGAGTAACATTTATCGGGTGTCGGGAGGGTGGTGGGGATCAGAGGGGATGGGTATATACAACTATAACAAGTAAGATGTGCAACGTTTGGGGGATAGATATATTTGAAGCTCTTACTCGAGGGGGGAGGCGGGCATGGGCAAAATAAGTAACCTTAACACTTGTACCCCTATAATATGCTAAAATAAAAAATAAATAATAAAAAAGAAAATATTGTAATAATATAGTCTTGAAATGAGTAAGATCTTTAAAAAAGTTCATTAGGGCCTCCTATGCATTTTATTCCTTGCATAGTCCAACAGTACCAAAATCTGTATATCAGCAATATAGGAAGGAAAACTATATTTTATTGCTTCATCAAAGATAAGTAGAGTTAGTGAAAATGATGCAAAAAAAACTATAGAAAATGTGTTGGCAAATAAAATAAAATGTATTCAATCATCAAATAGCCTATTTTTTTTTAAATTGGAGGAGGAGGAGTTGCATACTTTTTTACCAGCATCTTTGGAATGTGTTCCTGTAATCCTGTAATTAAAAGACTCTCTTGTAAAGGAATTTTTTCATTATTAAGAATAATGATTTATTAAAATAGTCTCTGAAAATCATTACTTGCATTACTTGTTAATTCACCCAGATATTTTTCTCATTTTAATTGGGTCTCTCGCCTTAGTTTTGTAAGAGGGAAGAAAATGAGTAGATCAATTGACATGTATAATCCATTCAGTGTAGAAATAACAAACAGAATGTATAACAACGTCTTAAAAACAAGAGAAATATATGTATTAAAAAAATTATAAAGCAAGCTGACATAAGTAAATCTAGCCTAAGTGTCTCTAATAAAGTGATAACTGGAAATAAATTTAAAACAATGAAATAGACAAGATAATTTCATATTTATAAAATATGTAAAAATATGTAAGTAACATGAATGACCTTTATTTTCTTTATATCAAAATATATAAAAAATCCAAGACATGTATAAGACATTAATAGAAATATGGTTATCAATCAATTCTAATTACTATACCATTTTACTATATATAAAATTGTATTGTAATTTTTACAGTATATACTTTTTTCTCTACACTTTCTTAAAAAATGTATAGAGTACATGCTATGGTATAAAGACTATTCTATTACATTGAAAAAGGGTAAAATTGCAATTACTTTTATACCTTTGGATACAATAAATTTACTTGTGTCAAATTATTTCTAGAAAATGGAAAAAAAATTAGAAAACAAAAAACTAAAAGCAGTATAGTACGGTAGAGAGAATGTGGCCTTTCATAAAATGTCAGCTCTCTCCTTCTTCCTTCATTAACTACCTACGTAACTTTAAACCCATCACTTAAACTCTGAATGTTGACTATTTCACTTATCAGTTAGGAATAACACAAATGCTCCTGTAAGAGAGTTTCTCTGAGGATTTGAGAGTAAATGTTGCTATCAGCACTCATATACTCTATTAGTTATATTATCACTTTCATTGGTAATGGCAAATATCTGAAATTTTTGACCTGTTAATACTCAATGGTTAGGGGGAAACAGCAGGAAATTATTAAATATATCATGTTTCTTTAATATGATGAAATATGCAGCTAATAATATTATGAGAAGTTTTAAATAGCCTTTGGAAATGATTTTACTCCTTCTAGCTTTCTCCCTCAATTAATTACTCCTAACGCAGCTTTATCTCACACCACCAGGACCATTAGATCCAGCAATCCCACTATGGTATATTTACTCAAAGGAAATGAAGTATTTTTATCAAAAAGATACCTGCACTGGAATGTTTATTGCAGCACAATTCACAGCTGCAAAGATGTTAAATCAACACAAGTGCCCATCAGTTCATAAGTGGATTAACAAAATGTGGTATATGTATACCATGGAGTATTACTCAGCCACACAAAAGGATAAATTAATGCCTTTTGTAAGAATTTGGATGGAACTGTAGACCATTATCCTAAGTGAAGTATCTAAAAAATGGAAAAACAAACACCACATGTACTCCCTATTAAATCAGAACCAATGGATGAGCACACATGTGCAAAGAAGGAATTAAACTCAGTGGAAATCAAGCAGGAGGGAGGAGGAGGAGGGCATGGGCAAAAACCTACCTAACAAGTACAATGAACACTATATGGGTGATGGACACACTTACACCATGTGTGATGGACACACTTACACCGTGAGTCATGGTATACATGGATTGTTACGAAAGCAATCCATGTAACCAAAAACATTTGTACCCCCTTAATATTTTGAAATAATAAAAAAAAAACACAAAACAAAATTACCCTTTATTGAGTTAACATTTTTGAGGTCTTGTGATAACTCTTACATACATAAACTCATATAATTTTTTCAGGGCTATCTATTTAATCTTCACAGTGATCTTTTCAACAACTCCTGTCATCCCTGTTTCACACATGATGAACCGCAGCGCTGAGTATCTACAGAACAGAACCTGTCAGAAGTTGAGTTAGCTTTCATAGGTAGTAGACTGGCTCCACAGCCCATGCTCTTAAGAATGAAGAATAAATATGAAATAAACTTTCTAATCTAATCTTATTACTGGTCATTCTGAAGTCTTTTTTGCTCAGAGTAGTTCTTTAAACTCAAGACATGCATGTATAACCACCTAGGTGACGTCTCTGCCTGACTGCCTACAGGCACAGAATGCCCCAAATTGAGCTGATTCTTCTCCCTCATTTAAAACCCAGCATGCAAAAAGTGCTTAGTCCAAAAGAACCAATCAAGACATAACTTTTCATTAATTATTAGTAATAAAGTTGCTCTCTTCCTGTAATTCCTGTTTTGGTAAATAGAGCTGCTCTCCATTCATGTAAGATCAGAATGCAGATGTTGTCTTTTACTAATCAATCACCAAGTTCTCTTCCATTTAAGACATAGAATCTTTCTGCCATTTACCTGGAAGAAAATTCTATCCAACCTAACACCTTTCCCATCCACAGAAACAGTACTTCTCACCCAGATTATTATAATTATATCCTACACTCTCTTCATTTCCTCTTCTACTCTTCTGATATGTTCATCATTATTTAACCAAAATAAATTTATAAC